TTCCCTACCATGCCATGCAAAAGATGAAGATGCCCACAGCATTTACTGGGAAAGGATCAACTGTAAAGTTGCATGTCCCTTTACTTCACCACACCTGAAAATAGCGGCAGCATCATGTGGCAGGAAGCATTCACTGTCTGTGATACAAAATTTGTCAGTACCCTTTTTCACTTTTCCTGTTCATTGCCCAGCAAGATAACTGTGCTTTAGAAATACCTCAGCTAGAGACAGAGACCATCACAGGCCATCAAGATAAGCCAATGATGAGACACCAAAAAAAGGTCTAAAAAACTACTCTAATAATCACTACAAAACTTGAAATCCATCCAGTATCAGAGGTAGTTTTCTGCTGACACCACCTTTGCCAAAGAGCAGAGCAGTCTCAAGCACACCCCACGTTCCTGCTCACTATATGAAGCAAAAATGTACCACTATAAAGTACTTTATTGTGTCCTCGTGCATAGTTTGTGTCCTGCAATTTGCTTGTAGTATGGGAGGGAGGGAAAAACTAGGGAGAATGTTCTCTCCAAACAGTAGGGAAACTATGTAGAACAGCAATTTCTAGAAACTCAGAGACTACTGTAAACTGAAAAAAAGATTTCTGGTCCAATTCTAGATCATAAGATTTGGATACAGGCACAAAAAGCTCTTCATAGCTTATCAAAAAATCTCAATCATTTCTCAATATGCATTAGTAATACTTTGGCAAACTAATGAAGTGCGTTGTTTTTGTTATATAATCACCAATCATCTTTGATTAACTAAATGCCTATCATCTGTATCAAGGAAAACATTAATAAAGCCTTCTTAAATAATTCAAAGCAGGAGAGATCCTGGTTCCATATGCCGTTATGCTTCTAACATGATAAGGCTGGGAATCACTGCTTTAAGAGACTGGAGCACATAAACCACAATAGTGCATAAACACACATTCCTTAATGTTTTGCAACAAGAAAAAAGTGAAGTACTCATTCATTTCCTCAATCTAAGTCAATTTCTCAGTTCTTCTATTCAAAACAAAACGGAAAAAGCCTTCATTAAAATAACATACGTACATAAAGAAATAAAAAAAACCCTCACTCAAGCCACATGAATTAATAGAAGAAGTACAAGAGGCAGCAGAGAAAGGTTGCAACAGGGAAACTCAGATCAGCTGTTAGGAAAGGAAGTTTTCACCATGAGAGCAGTGAAACAGGGCACAAGCTGCCAGAGAGACTGGACTCTCTACCCATGGAGATGTTCAAAAGGGGACAAGTCCCTACACAACCTCATTTTACTTAGAAGCAGGCTCTGTATTAAGCAACCCCCCAACAGGTCCCCACACAAGCTCTAGTTCCAGAAAGGACCCACACAAGAGAACTCACATTCATAGCAGCAATATCATTTTCATAGGACTCCCTGATTTTCTTCATAATTTCTTCCTCGGCCTTGGCACAAGTTTCAATACTGCCTTTAACTGTAATGGTCCTTTCCGGATTATAGAGTGTCAAGTCCTGCAATCTGCAGATGAAACAGAAGCACAGTTAATTAGCAAACAGCAGAGGGTAATCCAGATTTATCATTCAAGTGCGATGACGTCTGAGCATGTCGAGTTTGCCCTCCAAAGAGCGTAGTATCAATTCATAACAGGGCTCAAACAGTTCTCAGAAAATCTGGAGGAACTCTATCCTCTCAGCAAACGCAACAAAAACCACTGCAGCAAGGTCAGGCATCAGATGGCCGAGATGTGCTTTAGGTGCAACAAAAGATGGGAACCACCACGCTCTGTAGGAACACGAGCTGCAGAGCAGTGCAGCACAGTTCAGCTCCGCACTCCACACCAGCCCTACTACCAGAGAGGGGGCTTCAGACATTTTAGACATCCCAGAAATGCAGACCGTGAGAAACCTTCTTTCCTTGAACAATGGCAGATTCTATAAGAACGGAGGGAAAAAAGCCCAACCCTCAAGTGAATCTGCAGGAGAGCCTCCAAATCCTCGTAACGCGAAAACCAAAAGTGCAATGCAAGTCAACATTTGCTGCGAAACAACAGTAACTCCTCAGGGAAAATGAGAGGGTTACAATGTTAAACCAGTGCTTTGATAGGTAACAAATGCTGACCTACCATGGTGAAAGGGAAGAAACCGACTAGGAAGCCATGGCATATCCATGTTCTGAGAAAAGGTGAGTTGAAGGGGTGAAGACAAAAAAAAAAAAAAAAAAAAAAAAAAAAAAAAGGGAGCAGGATGCAGGAAGGGCAAGGAAGCACATGGTAGGAAGGAGGGCAGCATGCAAGGCTTGCTTTCTTGCACAGCGGGCAGCGTGGCAACCTGCACATCGCAGTTGAGCAGCGACAAGCACGAAATGCATCCACAAAGCAATCCTGAAATTTCCAGTGTGCAAGCACTGAGTTAATGCCTCAGGGAGCAAAGTGGTGGAAAACACCCCAGAGAAGAACACTTTCTCAAACCAGTTGCCTTACTTCATTTAGGCTTTTTGGTAAGCTTGTCCATAGAGAGATCAGGAGAAAGGCTAATTAGACAAAGCAGAATCAATGGGCATACGTGCACTCTGTTATGTACTGATTAAACCAGACGATTTCACAGGGCTACTTCAGGCATGGTGTGACAAGCATGATCTTGAGGCCAAGATTTTGATGCAAATAAAACGTTGACTTGCTAAATTAAATTATACTCTGCAAGTATTTACAGATAATGCATTATTTGTGTCATCATCAGTAAAGACGAGTTGGTTTCACAGAATGAAGACCATTACCCCTTTACCCCGTACCTTTTGTTTCTCTACGAAATAGCATTAACAGTCTGTGTACTGTTTGCAAACAAAGTGTTTACGCCAAGACATCGAAGAGAGCATGCTGGCCTTACAAAACCTCTTCTTGAAACAGACCTATTCGGGTGCTTTTTCTCTAACTGATTAGATTCTCTTCCTCAGACTAACTCCATAAATGTCTACATACCTTCAAAAAGGTCTCAGGTTCTTTCACCAGATTTTGAATTTCCTCTTTTTGAGGAACCTCATTCACTCTTAGCTTCCTTGCCTTCATTTGGGCTGTTTTCTGCAGTTTTGGTGGGTGGGTTTTTTTGTGTGGGGGTTTTTTGTTTTGTTTTGTTTTTTTTTTTTTGTCTCCTGCATGTGTTCTGCAGGTATTTGGTTTTTTTTTCGTCTCCTGCATGTATTCACACTTCTTCATATGTCTTCATGTGTCTTCCAAACTTTCTTCATTTCCTACAGCCTGTAAGCCTGATTCTCATCCTTTCTGGCTAAAGCGCAAGTCCAAGATTCCCTCAGTGCTTGGAAGTTCACACCAGAGTGTTCGTTATTCAGAACATGAGGTTCTCTGAAGATATTGCTCCAGGGTAAAACTACTATTAACAGCCAAGCTTCTACAAAGATGTTGATCTAATCAGTGATTTGCAGATTTCCAGTGAAGGTGGAAACTCCTGTTTAATCTCAGCTAAATTTGAACTTGTCTCAGTTACCTTCACAAACTCACGGACCAAAAGCTATTACTTTGAAGCAGATTAATCAACATATCCCAGCTTGGCTGCTGTTGGCGAAAAGGGACAGAACTGCTACTGAAGACACTCTTTTCAGTATTCACTCACTTTCTTTCCTTCCCTCTTGTCCAAAAACCTAATCTGTACCTGAAACTAACACATCACTTTTCACTCATTTTCACACATAGCTCAGAACTGATCCAGGCTTATAGTTTAAGACACTCGTCATTACATAAGGTATAATATGTTAAAAACAACTGACACTTAAGATATAGTTTAACACAGGCTCCACATAGCCTAGGTTATTTTTAGGCTTGCTCTTGACTTAGTTTACAATGAAGACTCACTGTTTACATTAAATTTAATTGAGCTTAAGTAACAGTTTAATCCACATTATGGAAAGGCCTCTGAAAGGCTGCTGTCTCAGCCTTCAAAACACATATTTTTGTAAGAACTCTGAACCTGAATGTACCACAGCAACATTGCTGCTATATGAGACATCTCACCAAAAGATTAGGCCACCAAAAACTTACGGAGATATCGTGATTTTAGTGTCTGTGTCCTGTTCAATTTTCTTCAGGTTTCTTCCTTCTTTGCCAATAAGTCGGCCAACAAAGTTGTTATGTGCCAAGATCTTCAAGGGAATTTCTTCTGTACTGTAATAGAGGTTACACCCAGTGAGACTTATGGAGACCAGAGCGCAAGGTTTTTATGCATGTTATGGATAAATTTTATTTTCATAGAAATGTCTACAAATCCCATTCACTTACACATGTTTATACTAGATGCAGAACGAGTCCAAGTGCAATGCACACTTCAGCACTACCATCTATAGCTTCATCGTAACATACCTGCTAACTAAGTGTCAGACTGAAGTAGCAAGAGCCGTTGGGAAGGAACAAAGAGACCTTAAAGCTTCCAGTAAGAGCTCACAACTTGTTATGGTCACTCTAATTCAAAGCTGAGTTGCTCAAGAAACTTCAGTATTTGCTCCAGTTCACCTCAAAATCACAGCCAGACAACGGCTGAAAATATAGATGTGTGCTGGGGCTAATTAAGCAAGCAGACTGTCCTGAAAGAAAAGAACCCTTAGTTCCTTTACCTACTTAAATATGGATAGTGGCAACAAAGTTTCACTTATTAGCAGTTTTTAAAGGCTACATCTTTAAATGGAGTCAACAAGAATTCAGAATTTAATGCCTCCACAATGAAATGCCTTTTACTCACAATTTAGTATCTTGAGCTTCCTTTTGCATGATCTCCATAATAATTTTACAAGCCGTTGAGCAGCCTTCAGGAGTTGAGTGGATGGTAATCGGTTTCTCAGCAGCACCTGCATTCTCTTTACGATGAATATCAATTCTTGAAAGAAAGAAAAACACTAACTGTAACCATGTACTATATGGTAAGCCTTGCACATTTCCAACTCTCACACAACTAACTTATTTTAAGCTAACACCGACTACATTTAAGTGGTTTAATTTTGCAAAGTATACAACTACTTAGACATCTCCTAAATACTATTTCTTTTTTGTGTTGTTAAGGGCCTCTCCTATCCTGATTTCACCAGCTTAAACCCCATCTTTGTGGACACTGGTATCTCCTTTCCTCATTATACTCCCATCAAGACATTCAGGAGAGTTGTTAGACAATCTGTGGTAAACCACTGAAGACAACATTTCATCAAGCTTTCCCAAGCTCCACAAATTTATTTCTCCACAAATAATGACTGTGCAGGTACCATACAGTTAGGCTTTGCCCCACCTGGTCTTTTTTAACGACCTCAGCAGCAGAGTTTCCTAACAATTCTCTGCTAGCAAGCAGCATCATAGTACTTGCATTCATCCTCAAGGTTCATTTTGTATGCTTTTTAAGCCTAAAATTTGTCCTGACATTACCTTGCCTCTACCTCCACCGTAAAACTAGTAGCCTTAGTCTATACCATGGTTTGTGTAGCTCTAGGAATTTAACAAGAACTAGTTATGTCCTGCGTCAGGACAATGCCTTGGACAATTTTGTCCTCTGCCAATAACTGCAGGTCACATACTCTTTCCTCCTCTGCTTTTTGCTTCCTCCCCTCCTCCCCCCCCCATATCATAGCAAACAAAAAACCATGCTGCTTTTCAATAAACCCCTTTATTTTTCCTATTCTTTCTGATATTGAAAATTCATTTGGTTTCATAGTGCAACATTTTATAAGAAGCCCATGGCAATCCCTGGCACAACAGGAAGTAGATGACATTTTTTATCCCGCGAACAATGAAAACATCATTCTTGAAGTCATGTATCTGTAAAGTTAGCAACGTGTGATCATTTCTGCTCTATCCAGCCTTCTTCTAAGAGATAAATACTTTTCTTATGCCAATGTTCCAGGATTTTTATAGTCCGAGAGTTAGAAGTTTTAGATATCACCTAAAAAATTGGTTACCCATAGGCAAACTACAACCAAGTCTTGCAAGGACTCCACAAATCTCTTAAATCTGTGTTGTTAAACACAGCAAATAGTCTCCTGGGTTACAACATGCTAATGAGAGGCTGAAAGGAGCATCGTGATAATCCTGGGTTTGAGGGGGGAGGGAAAGCCAGTTTGTTTGTGGGGGGTGTAATTAGAGAGAACCCCCTTGTCCGCATTGACTATTCTCAAAACCAAAGCCACCCACTCTCATACGCAGCTCCTTTACAGGTCCTGCCTGCTGTAACTACAGAGCTGGGGGCTGGTACCAGTGTACTGCTGAAGACAGCATCTTCTGCTCTCCACTCTTAGAGATATCCTGGAAGAATACTTTGAATACGATCCCCACCTCCCTCTGCATCTGCGCTGAGCTCTTCCTAGTGGGTAGGGATTCAACACGCACTGAAAACAGACTCCTCCAGCATCCCTAGGCCCTCGCACTCTAAGCTTCTTAGGTCACTTAGCAGCTTGCTTTTTGCCTCCCATGCATTTCCTTAATCTGTGTTCTGGTATGGTCTGCAACTCGATAGCAACAAATGTATTCACTGGAAATACACGGGAGTGAGGTATAAGGAGTAGTGAGGGGAGATAGGAAGGGTTTTTTTATTTTTTTCCTGTTGAATAGAAAATTTTTATAAATCCTAAGAATGCCCTGAATTAAACTAAAGCTAGAATAAACTCGTAAAGACTTGGATATGTCACCACACTGACTGTATGTCGCACAGACCAACATATTACAGGTCTTTCGCTTTTTGTGCCAGAACCTAATTAGTGCATCTGTAAGCAAATTCTCCAGCATCAAGTACCATCCTACTAGCGTTGCCTAATTTAATTTTTTTAAAAGGGAAAAAGCAAGTCACTTAGTATTTAAATATGTGTCACGGACAGAATCCAGTCCTTGCATAAATCTTGCAAAAGATTTCCTATTCACCGTTATCTGCATTTGCTCTCTGACCACAAGTTAGTTGCGAAGTTTTACAATTTCCCTTTACATAGGAGATGAGGACACAATATTAAAGCTTACAATTACAGTTTTGTAACATAACATACTTGGACTGTGTCTGCTTTGTAATATTTCTGATTGTTGCTCCTTCTTTCCCGATAATGGCTCCTACGAACTGCGTGGGAACCAGCATCCGTAGAGGAACGTCCGACTGTGGTTTCTGCCTTGTGGTTGTGCTGGGTGACCCTTGCCTTGGAGGACCCCTCTGTCCAAATCCACGTCTTCCCTGGGGGTGTTGTTGTGGTGGTTGCTGGGCTGCCATTTCATCAGGGATGTATGCAACTTTCAAGGAATAGTTCTCAAGCTGAAACCCATTCAGTTTTTCTATTGCTCTGTTTATTTGCAAAGGCAAGGAGAAAGTAGAGGAAAAAAAATAACCACAATCACAAGGAGGGCCTTATGAAATGACAAGTCATTCGGGTATAAGCTTCTCCTCTAAATCGCACGACAAAACCAAAAACTGGTTCCAAGATGAAAAGTTACATTCAGAATTCTTCAGTCAACATTTTGATTACACAGCATTTAAGTCACCATATTAAGGACTACAAGTTAGTTCTTGCTTGCTCTGGGCTTCTGTGCACTGTAACGATTTTGCTGGTGCAACCCTATCAACAGTACCTCACAGGAGATAGAGCTTATAAGCTCAAAAGCATTCTTTTGCCTGATCTAATTTAAATCAGTTTCCCAAATAGAATTAATGCTGCACCAGAGGGAAGACTTTTTAGCTGCCATCACAGCACCTTCATTAGGTTTTTTGCCAGCACAGCTATTTGTCTGCAGTCTTTGCAAGATCTAACATAGCTATGACAGGAAGGAAAAAAAAAAAAAAAAAAAAAGAGATACAACACTTAACTGACCACGACAGCACCTTGCAACTTACCAACTGGTCACATTGTAAACAGGTTTAAAAGTTGACCAGGAAATTATAGCCAAAGTGTCTGTTAAACTCTCCATAGACACAAAGGTGTTAGAAGGCATTTAAATGGTGTTTCAAGTTCTCTTGTTCTTTTTGGGAAAACAGAGCCCTCTTAAATACCACGGAGGGATATTGCCTAAATGCACACAACACACACACGCCGTGGTCCATCACAATGAATAACCACCTGGTCTCTCAGCTCTCCCTCTGACCAGCTCTTCTCTCTAACCAAGGTGGGGCCAAGTTTGCAAGTCAACCTAGTCAACCTGACCTGCTGGTCTCCTCTTTGCAGAGGGCTTAATCACAGATTTCTGTAGGGTAGAAGATCTTCTAACCACAATCAGAATAGAGTCAATATGATTAAAGATCCAGGAAACAGTATAAATAACTTATGAATAACTAAGCTACACGCAGCACACTGGTAAGCTAGTGGTATAAAATTAAAATGTTTGCCCAAGAAAGACATTTCAGGTTTCACTACAGAATTATTCAGATTGTCAGCAACATGATATATTGATATCACTAAACCATGCATTGATTTGGGGCAGTTTCTAAATACGAGGCTTAATCTTGGACCAAAGTTTACTTTGTTTAAAGACAAAATTGAAAGTAAAAACACTGGTGGAAGGTTTCCATCTCATATTAAAGAACAGCCCAACATTTTTTTAAAAAGCTCCAACCACCATATGCTTTGAAGCAAGGCCTCTGAAAATCAGACTTAATCCAGTCTTTCCATTTATGCACACTTGCAGGTGGTTGCTGCAAGTTTCCCAAATGCTAGCCTCGACAACACTTTTACTCCTGCAGAGATAAAGGACGATGCTGGTCTACTGCCTAGATTTTCAAGGGCAGCCAGTGAAAAGTACTATTCATCTCCTGGGTGTCCCATTCAACAGTCTGGGTCTCAAGCAGCTGTTGAAGCCAAACAGCAGCTTTACAGGTAAGAAGTGGTACTGAGGATAACGTGCCCCTCATCTCGCAGGGGTTAAACCACTGTCCTCAGGATACTCCAGCTGGACAGTAAAGAGCTTATGAGAAAACAAGTAATTCATGCATTTGGAGCAGTGTTTAATAAGGACTGGTAATAAATAAGGCCCAAGGCAATGCCACTGAACAACAAGAAAAGCAAAATATTGAATAACTGATCACTGCTCATTAAATACTTCTGTTCACCAAATGAGATGGGTCCTTTGGGAACCAGCCAGGGGTGTAATTGCTCCTGTAATAGAAGAATCGCTTAGAGTATAAACCAGAAGAGAGCTGGATTACAATTTGCTGAGGCTATTTGAAAGCTAACATTTCTGAACTCTTACTCCATGGGCTTTGAAGAGCGTTTTATTACACAGAAAGCTATGTTTACAAAACAGTAAGGGCAGTGAGCAGCAGGTCTAGTGAAACTTGCGTTCCTATGGATTTGTGTCTCAAGTATTAGTTTCTGCATAGATTTCCAATATCCAAAAGGCATTTCGATGAAGTCTCTCTATAGAGATCCTATCCAGGTGAAAGGGGTCTAGAGCCTTTTTTTTTTATGCAGCCTGAACACACTAAGTCCTTGTTGGCTGCAAATATCCAAGACCTCCACTTCTGCATGGAGTTTTAATGAAATCAGCCAAAAAGATGCATTGCTATCAGGGAGGGAAATGGCACCACTGGAAAGTGCAGTTGCACAAGCCCTGTTTCTTTTGGAATCAAACCTCAAGATGCCGGAGATGAACACCAACCATTTCACAAACATGCTGGTACGCTCCAGATTGACATCCGTCCCAACTCATTCCCTTCTATGCATTCATTTGACAAGTTCAGGCATTGCTTCTTTCCCAAAATGCTTCAGTCTCCTCTGGCTTTAAAATGTCTTAGACTAGAACCCCAGTTTAAATTAGTCTAGATATTTACAGAGAAAATTTTAAGTAACTAATTCACCCTCCAAGTCAGAGTTCTCCATATTTTGCAGGCTGACTTGTTTTATAATTTGACTTGTTCAAGCATCAAGAAGTCAGAAGAAGAATTGATAATTACATGCTGTTCTCCCAAACCACCAGTGGAACTGATGTTTCCTGGCAGGGTGGGTGATCCCACACTCTGCACTCATTTGGGGACACACAGCGGAATGCCAAGATAACTAGTTTTCAGTGATGCAGCAAATACACAGTTCTTGGGCATTTGTTACAGAAGACACAAGCCCAGAGCTTTTGAAAGGTCACTTTGCCCATTGAGCCTGGCCTTCACGTTCCAACATTCAACAGTTTTCACTAGGTTTGTAAAGTATTGTCATACGCCTTTATTGAACTGTTCTGAACTGATTTTTATCAATTTTGTGGCACAAAACACAGGGCCGGAATTTGGCAAGGCGATGGCTCAGCAGTCCTTCGCCACCATAACAAGCCCAAAATTTTAGAGGCATCTGCTTTGGGAGGGTATGGCAGGGAAAGGAAACCAAGAAGAGAGAAGACTGATTAAGAACTGGCTTCCAGATGGATGCAAAATTCATGTAAAACAGCACTTGCCATCAGAGGAATTATGGCCACTCCCTGGGAAAGCAAGTGACTTCACAGCACTACTTTAGTCAAGGCTATCCTCGTTGTTGCAGTCCACCTAATACACGTTAAAACCAGCTCCCTTTGTAAAGCACACTCATGCTGACAGACCACCTCGGAAACTCAAGTCCAAACCACAGCAAAGCCACCTCTGCTTTTCTGCAAAGACCTCTGCCTTCCCAAACAGGACTGGGGGTGTTCCGCGACCACAAGTTAATAAAGGCCTTGCAGGTTACCTCTGGCAGAGAGTACTACTGGTACCTACTGAATCAACCCACAAACTATCTTTTGTGCAAGGGCTAAAAACCCTTAGAGTCACTTAATAAGGACAAAGATGGAGAAAAAGTCAGTAAACTTCCTCTTTAAGAGGTGCCTCCTCCTCCAAATCTTCTTTAAAAATTAATATTCAGTGGGAATGGCAAAGGTTTCCATTTCGTATACGAGCAAAAGCTGGTATGCAGGAGTCTCAGTGTGGCTCAGAATTTTTTTTATAAAACAAATTCATTAAAAGACTGCAGTGACTACTGCCTGTGCTCTGCTAAGATAAATAGCAGCTTAGCTTATGTTCATGTGACACCTGCACAGCAGAGGATCCCTACATAAAAATGAAACCTTTAAACAAAGGTTTTGTAAATTAGTCACCTGAGTTTTTCCCATCAAAATGACATCTCCCCACTATCCTCTTGTGAGCTCCCTGAGAAAAGGTGTTTGCCCAGCCTTCTCCCTTCTGATGGTAGGGGAGGTTAAACATCCTAGATAAATGAATACAGTAAAAGCACCGAGTCTTGTGCTGGAAATCATTCATCCATTGATAGTGCGATGACACTAGGCACTAGATGGAGAATGTATTTCACTCCCACACGCAGCCTGTACTTACACCACCTTTCTTTTTTCCTCCCTGAACAGATACATTTGCATACTGAGAAGACATATATACATGGTAGTTTTTCTTTGGCATAATGATGGTTTTTTGCATTAAACAAAAATATAGTTTTCATTAGTATTTCTGAAAATAAAAACAAAGCAAAAAAAAAAACCCTTAAGCTTGTAATCATACACCACTGATTTTTCAGTATTATCGTTCCTATGGCAACATTAGCCCTGACCCACGATGGCATGTAAAAGTATTAGTTATGTGAACTTATTAATTCATCAAGGATACATGTTGTGTGCACACACAGAGGTTTGTGCTTCATTGGAAGGGTAAGAGAAATTGTTTCTTTTTGCAAGTTTTCTGATTAAAAGGTGACCACTAGTATCTCAACACTCAAATATACCTACTTGTATCTGCAAAGATGCAGATCCTGAGCTCCTCACAGTGCAGCCTGTAGTTAAAATACACCAGGAGTTACAAGTAACAACCAACACACATACATCATTCCTGAGCTAAAAAAAAAGAAAAAAAATAAACACCTAGCCCCATACTAAAACAATATACACCTGCTCCATATATGTGAGACCAGCTTTGCACAAAATTTCCCTTCCAAAATCCTGGGTAGATCTAAATCCTGTGGCATGCACTAGACACCTACACACTGGAACATTTTGGGGACGGAAAGAGGAGGTGGTGTAGCTTTTGAAGATAACAGCCATAATTTAGGTGGCAGCACGTTACAAGGACACAGTCAGCTCATCCTGCTGGTTGCAGTCAGGGATCTGTGTTGGGAGAAGAGGGGATGCCCTTTGGCAAACAGGTCCCAAGCTGTCTCGGGACCTAGGCGCAGCTGGTTGGGTTGTTCAAACTGAACCGGGGGCTCCGGGCTCTGCCACCTGCCTTCTCAACTCCTCTCTTCCAAATATTCCACAATGCGCTGTGACATTTGGTAATTACGTGTGCCACAGCAGAGCGGACGTGCTTTGCAAGGCCCACTCCAGACTCTGGGAAGGACAGCGGCAAGGGCAGTTCCTGAGTTGGAACAACTCCCTCCTCCTCCCAAGCGCCTGCAGGAGAGGAGAGGAGGGATGTGGTCACAGAGACCTGGTCAGTCCCAGACTTCTCCTTGCTACCCAGTCTTGGAGGGCAGAGGGTTGTTTCCCCAGCCCCGTGCACAGCTCGGTGCTTGCTGTACACCTCTCTGAAAACCTACCAGGCTTCCTACAAGTAACCTGACCTGCCACCCTGGCTCCTCTCCTCTGGCCACATAGACAAGGAGAAGCATCTTGCTTTGGCTGCCAAGACAGCCTCGTGCCTGCCCAGCCAGCCTCGTTCCTGCCCAGCTAGGGAAGAGAGGCATCACTACAACAGTTCACAGCCAACAGACCTCCGTTCCAACTACAAGTCAATAACTGATTTTGGGTGTTGTGTGCTCTGTCCAAGACTTGCTTCTTGTAGTACTTATAACATTCTTCACTGATTTCAGTTTCCAAGTCGATTTTGGATGCAGCCCTACACTGAATATGCCACAGCTGCAGCACCAGCCTAGAGAAAAAAAGCCCTCTGCCACAACAATCAGGCTTGCAAGACAGAAGGCAGCTCCATTTCCCATCTGGGTGGAACCATAAGTTTTGTTCAAAAGTAACATCCTCCAAGCAATGCATACCACACCTGTTTAGAACTGCTTATCAGAAGTATCTCCAAATTGTGCTACAGCACCTCCACCTCATGGCATCGCCGGTATGCACTCCAGCAGGCACAGCAATGCCGTACGGTCTATCCAGCGGGGAAGCAGCCAACGTTGCTTGTTCCGTCAGCCAGCGCTACTAACCGTGAGGTTAACACGTGTGTTGCAAAAAGCACAGAAAAGATGCAATTAGAAATGGGGACCCACTGTATGCAGCAGCACAGAAAACTTAATTAAATGCTCCAAAAGCCCTGGCTAAGAGCATCATGTACTGTAAACAGCTACATGTCAAAATACAAAGCTTGTTATCAGCTGCTGATTCTCAACAACTCTAAACACCTTTTGATAAAGTCAGTTCTTGTTACTCCTTGTACTGCACAGGCTGACCAGCACCGCCTTTTATCAGCATTCGTGTACCGCTCCACCTCCACAGCCACTGCTGCCCACCACAGCCAGTTCCAAGAATCAAAGCTAGGTCACGTCTGGGAAAACCATTCGATGGAAACACCACCACGGTCACTACATAAAAGCCACACACACACAGGTCCTGTGGTGATCCTTCATTGCAATTCTTAATTTTTTTACTAGAAAACACTCTATCCAGCCACCACTTCTCTTAGAGGTTTCTAAGTAGTTACAAGTCTGCATGCTGAACCCAACCAATCTAAGCTAACTTTTTCTGTACAGAAAATGTACTCACCCCCTTAGAAAACCCTGTGTCCGTATGAAACCATTCAAATCAAATCAAGGCTCCTCCACTTGCCCTACCTGCTCATGGCAACCAAACTCTATGTCATCATTCAACCTGTATCGCTTCAGGTCATCCTCCAACATTCAGGCTAGATGCTAACTAACCGGCTCCAAAATGAAGATGTTTTTGGTTATTGTCATGTGACTTCTCATGCAAAACAAAACTTTTTTCTCACTCACTTCTTCACAGTCTTGGCTTATCTCAACATCTCCTCAGGATTGACCGTAAAATTTAACAAGTACAGTTTGAGGGGGGAGAAACTGTACATTGTTGTTTTCAGTTTCAGAAGGGAGTGCACAAGTCCAGGAACCCACATCACAGATGACAGACAGCTCCAAAATATGTATCATGCTTCTTTCAGTGCTATTTTGGGTACTTCCTTCTTACATTTTCAAAGAAGGAACTGGCACATGGAGCATTAATTTTTAACATTGCTCCATAGGTTTCTTCAGAACTAGAAATCCAACTTTCTTTTTTTAATTACTGTGCAGCAGCATTAAAAACAACAGAAGAACCCGAAGAACTTGTTGAATGATTCAGGTTTTGAGAAAAGTTAAATAGCGAATTCAAGAAAAACATTGTTTCTGTCAGCTCCAGTGTACACAGGAGACACCACTGACACAAGTTTCCCACCACATTTGTTTAGAATACACTAACAAGTAACCTAACACTTTGAAAGATTAAATACATGTGTTGCATTCAAGTTATGCAGAAGTCATAATTACTTAATTATATGTACAAATATTATTTCGTTTGTAATTTTGAATTAATGCATACCATAAGCATACTCTGCATCTTAACCGCTGTTTTTGGTTAGCCACAAGGTGGCAGAAATTTCAAAGTTAAAATAAAAAGATCATTGTAGGCTCTTCCCTGGGTTTGGTTTTGTTTAGCCTGTTACAGCTAGAAAGAGGGAGAAAAATACATTTATGTCACCAGATTAAAAATGAAAGAATGCACGAGTCCTTTTTTCTATCTGTGGTGGCAAAACAAAATTAAACTTATAGCATAATATACAATATGGATGCTTAAAAGAAAATGATGAACAACTACTGATTAAGAAAAAGCACTATATTTTTAAATTTTAATGTCTAAATTAAATGTTATCAATTATTGGAGATAAGCAAGCATAAAATATGTGGCCTAAAATTCAAAAAGCCCCAAAATTATTTTAGGTATTCGATTACGACCTTGTTTGTGTTTGGAAGCAGCATTAAATTTTCTAATTAAAAAAATAATTTCTTAAGGGAAAATATTAAATGATAGCAAAATAAAAGAAACAAATAGGAGAAGAATGCAGCTGCTAAGCACAAGACAGACACAGAACAACTAGCACTGTCTAAGAGCATCACAAAGCTTTTTTAAAACATGGCTAAAATTCATCAAGTAATAACTCCCGTCCTCTGTCATTGGCAAATTACTAACTTTCTGCCCTCCCCAGTCAAAAAATTTTACCCAAATTTTCCATCTTCAAAGTTATTAATTTATTTTTAATTGAAGTGCAGGAGAAGTTCATGACAAAACAAACAGCAAATTATGGTAAAGCACCCAAGACTTGGTGAAGAGAAGATCAAGAGGCTTTCTTAAAAATTAATGCTTATATGATCGTTTTATTGATAAATTAATCAGAAGCAAAGTTGCATATAAAATTGCAACACATGAATTCCAAACTGCAAGTTAGATAACAATAACAAGTAAATAAGATACTTACTGTCTGGCCTGGTCCTTACTGCCATATGTTACATTTACAACTGCAGTCTCTGTGTCAGTGTTCACTAGAGAGGAAAATGCAATAAAAAGAGGTGAAGTTCAGTGTGTACTCACTTCTCACTACAAATTTAAAAGCAGTTTGAGAGTAGAGCCATACCTTGCTCACAGTTCTCCACTGTTCCATACTGAGCTAACAAACTATCCAACACCTATCAAGAGGGAAAAGAAATAGCAGATTTCAATTCTAAAACAGATTAACAAAACAACAAAGCCTGCAAGAAAACTAAAATTTGTGATACTTTTACCAGAAGATATAGCATTCAAAACATCCACTCCAATAAGGTAGGAGGCGTTAATAATTTTGGGAACAACAAGCCCACATTCCTTGATTTCATTCTCACAACAGAAAATCTGCATTTAAAACTTCATGAACGTGAAAATACAGAACACAACTCCAAGAAGTCACACTGCGCTATTAAACCTTCAAGTCACCTGTTCTCAGAGTGGACTACAAGCAGAGGAAGGAAGAATTAAGGAGCAGCAAATCTGGAATAAAGTCTTTCATGTAACCCAAGCACATACATAACTTAACCACTCGTTTTGCTTGGTTTTTCCCCATTACACACAGGCAGTGCATAAAAATATCTTCTTTTCCTACTTAGCAGTGGCTTGTCTACAAAGAGCAGTTAACCAGAATAACCAGTGCACCAGAAGCTGTTTTGCAATTGTTTAGACAGTTTTCCCAAACGCCCATTCCAGAGGAACCACTCATAACAGTATCTACACAATTATTTGGAAGTCACAAGTAATTTGGCCTTTGGGAGAAAGCTAGGGAGAAAGAGGTGAAAGCACATGACAAGGAACAAAAGTAATTTGAATAAAGTAGTTCTATTTGGCATCATTTGTTTTATTCTAGTCAAATGGAGAATGAAGATGGGGCAAGAAACAATGAGACTTTTAGGAAAATCAAAGTGTTGGAATATTCCAGTAAAAACATTAAAATACACATAGTTGTATCACTTCTAAAATTCATGTCACATACTTTGTTTTCTTCCTGGTGAGAAGTAATGTTCCAGAAAACAGCAACTGCGGCTGTAACTCACACAAAGCACAAGTACATCATTGATGTTTGTTGCATCCTAATTTTTTATCTCAAGAATTAATATGAGACTGGAAAAGTTCACCACTTACACCAAGTGAAAAGTAAATTTGCAATCACTTCTGTGAGCAAAGAGCCGTTCTTCCCTTCGTTTAGTCTCTTAGGACAGAATGTCGGAACGAAAGGGAGGAAACCCTTTTGGGAAAGGAAGGAAACGAGGAAGAAAGGACAGAAGCAAAGCAGTGGGCATAAAGACACATCTGTGCAGCTTCTCACTGCAGCACCTTTCCACTTGCTGTAACCAGCAGCTGAGGGTGCACAAAACCCTAGTCCCTAAATATGTAAAATTCAGAGGCTACATCCTCAGGAGATTAAAAATTCAGAATTATAGTTTATTAATGTACATATACTTTTACTACAATATAAAAGATATTTTTAAGATAAAATGCACTTTCTATGCCCAAACTTAACGACAACTTATATTGGTATAATTTCCAGTCTTTACCACCTGTTAAAACTGAAATTGCACATAGACATTTCAAAGGCAATATTTCAAACCAGGTATTTAAAAGGCAATGCACTGCTCACCAAGCTTGTGCAATACATCACTATTTCTAACTGCAGAATTTCCCCATCCTTCTGTACAGGGTCTAGTTAGTAAGTTTTCTTGGCAACCGTTTTGTTTTCATACACAAGTTGTTAATTGTCCTCTCCCTCTTCAAGTAGAGATTAGCCTAGTCTGAGAGCTTGCCTTTTCAGTCCCCTAATCTGACACTCCTCAGATCTGACAACTTGAAACTAGCTAAGGAAACATTTGCTCTGAAATTTGCTAAATATTACTGCAGCAGAGACACTCCAGGGGATTAAAATAAATTAAAAGTCTGTGGAAGATATTTTTAAGACAATTGAAACCTCGGCACAGTGGAGTGGGGGCGTTGGGAGGTCTTGCAGGTCTGCGGACATACTTCCACACAAGCCAGGAGAGTCACTACGTGTGATGAGGAAAGCCTTCCTCCATAGACGGCTTGAGCAGTAACCATGCCTCCACCAAAATCAGTGGGTGAACAGAATCTCAGGTGGCGTCAGGGTTTTAAAACAAGAAAAACAAAGCAAGTCCCTGGCTTCAAGATCCATTCTGAGATGCTTACTTAAAATAAGATACTGAAGAGTTCATTAGTCTGATAAAGCATTCTCTTTGTCCCTACAGTATGTCAACACCCATGCCGTATTACACAGCAGGCTGTACTACGGGGTGAGCTGATGTCTTTAGTTAGTTAAGACAAATTTTTATTACACCTGAACTGCGCAGACCACCGGCTCATGCCAAATCTGCCCTAAAGCTGCATCACTTCAAAATCACAGAATTTCATTTGCATCCTAAATCACACGGGAAAAGAACAAAGCTGGAATGCCAGAGGTACGACAAGACTTTGCTGGATAATAATCAATACTTTGTAAGATGTTTCCATACTACATCTATATTCTGGGCTAAGCATACTTTTACATTAAGACCAACATATTAAAGTCACCAGCTTCACCAAGAAAAGAAATGCTTTAAAGCAGAATCCACACAAGTTTTTAAAGATACTACATTGTCTCTAAAAACTACTGCTTTCAGCATGTTTCTGATCAGCCATCAAAAGCCTCTCAATACACTAGCCCTGCATCTGCTCCAAGAAGCCCAAGAACCAAAAGGCTCTTTTGCAGTTAAGGAATAGTCCAGGTCGGCGCATTCAGCATCCTACTCCTCTTCACCAGAACTTCTCCTCTCATGCTGCTCTTTAATCCTCTTCTGAGTTGTTTCAGTCAGGGACTGCGTCCACCTGGGCTTTAATCGAAGTGATTTGAGTTCCCATGTTCTAAAGAGATTCACTTTACCAAACAGATTTATGTGAAGTTTCCTCAAAGGATTGGAGCTTTTTGTAACCAAAATGAGAAACAATCCCCTTCTTGGGTCAAAGACACTTGCTGTCCACAGCACTGTCCTCAGCAGATGCTTGTATTTTCATCACCGTCAAGTCTCATGCAGCAAGGTTTTAAGTCTCATCAACATTGCAGGGGTAGCCTTTTAACCAAATTGTATTTAAAATGCACTAGTAAAAAAGTTTCAGCAGCGGCTGGGGTATACACGTGTGTGTGTGAGGAGCAAGCTCCATGGGTGAGAACACTTCTACCTGAACCAGCTGATCCAGTTGGGAGAAGTCATTGCAACCGTATTCAAAGCCAGATACTCTATTGTCACTCACTTTCAAAGCACAGAACTCGGCTCCTGCGTGTGTTTCTTGCTTCACATGTATTTACTGCAACAGCCTTCATTTTTTCATATTTCTCTTCGCACTGTCTTTTCCCTCTCCTCAATTTTTTTTTTCTCTCTAGCCTAAAGCCTCTGGTTCTGCTGCAAAACAAACATGTTTTGTTTTAGCTGCTCTTCTGTAACACTCTTCATGTACAGCCTTGTTGGGCAACCAGAATAAAATTCAAAGCCAAGTTGGTGGTGCAGCAGCAATTCTGATGAGCAGCTGAAAAGAAAAGTTTATTTGTACAAATATTTAATCTAAGCTAGAAAAAAAAAAAAGTCTTTCCTTTTCTTGAGCTCCCCTTCTAGCAGTTGTCTAAATTGGATCTCCTGCTCTTGTTACAGCACAGATGTCTCTCACACAAAAAGCTGCAGTCTTATACTGTGGACTTTCATTCATCAGGCTCTAAAAGCCAATTCTGACTTCATTATAAACAGCATTACCCTACACCAAGCCCCACAGATCGAAGCTGCTTTACAAGGAAAAAAGAAACAAGGAAATGAGAGCTCGAAGCACACATTAAAATATCCCTGTTTTCATGCATATTGCACAGGTTTAGAAGTAGCACCTTTGAACAAACCAGAGCAGAAATTTTCTGTACTTTCAGAACAGACTATTTCATACACCTCTTCTTACGGTGCCGTAGGATTTCTGCCCTGCGCCATAAGCAAATTAGTCTCCAGACATCTGGTCCATAAGCACAATTATCTCTGTTGTTTCTCTCACACACACAGTTAGCAATGGGAACTTCACAGCAGTGCTGTAGAACCTGAAGTTGTTTTCCTCACTCACACAAAGCAAATCCATTAGACTACCACCCTTTCCTCCATGATTCCTGGTGTGATTACTTGGTTGGGAGTTCAAATTAGACAACACAACTGAAATCACAAACAGCAGAAGCAGAAAGAGCCAGGAGGATTGGGGTCATTCAGGAAGAGATCATGTGGGAACTTCCAGCTGCAAAGACTTTGAGGGTTCTGGGTGATTTTACAACAGCGGAGGGGAGGGAGGGGGAAGAAAAGTCAGGCAACCAAATGAGGAAAGAAGAAGTTGTTAGTGCAAGTGGCTTTTTGATTTAAAAGAGGAGAAGTGGGGTGAATGAAAAGGAACAAAGTGAGGAAAGGAGGGGGCAGGGGCACAAACCAATGTTGATATCACTCCAGATATCAAGCCCGACTGAACCACTAGTGCCATCTGCACACTTCAAGTATTCTGTTGGTATATTTAAGTCCACAAAACCCTGCAATTTTTGGTTGATTATATTAGTGCAGCACAACTAACCTGATGTGATCCCCACCAGGCTCTAGTGGGCTAAAATTTGCAGCGAGCAGCGCTGGCATTTTGTGACTTTGATGTGCAAAACAGGACCTCAGCCACCATTGCTCTCACAACTGACAATGACAAAAAGGCTCTTCAAAGTGCCTTCAGGTTGACTTAATCTCTTCAGTGGTAAAAAACACATCCCCAGCAATGGGCCCAGCTAGCATGGTTTTACAAGGAAAATTAAATACGAAGAAGGCCCTAATAAACCTCTGAGGAAGCAGTCGTTTTTGAAAGGCGTAACTGGATGAAGCTGCATCACCTGCATAGAGGCCATGATGGATGGGTGAGCCCAGCGCCAGGTCACCTGGTGCACCTCCCAGCCCAGGCAGCCCATCCAGACCACTGCTGCCAACCAGAGCCCAATCACAGCAACTTCATCCATTTTTACCAAAAAGAAGGTCAGAGCATGTTGGTCCCTCATAAAAGCAGAGCAGCATGGATGTGGAGTACCCAAACCAGCATGTGGTCTGCTGGGACAAAGTTGTTCCTC